TTTCTGTACTCCTGTTCTCGTGTTTGTATCATATTAAAATAATTTTTTTTTATTGGTTTGATTAATTACCTAATCAAGTAATAGAAATATTTTAAAGCGTCATCTATAGAGTATCAATTTATAGTTTTTAGAGGATACCATATGTCCAATATTATATATTAAAAATAGTTCAAATTATATACGAGTAATGATCATACTTACTATTATCGGATTTTTTAAAAAATAGCCTTCACCATTTTTTGAATAGCTCTCGATCACTTATAGGTATCGAGCTCGGGTTTTCACCATTAGAAAGAGCAAGTGAAAGGACATTTATCTATATAAAATTCATAAGGTTTAAATAAGTTTTTCATCAATGTTTTTGAACGAATATCTTTTTCGTTATCCATTTTTATGACTTTTCACAACAATCTATACTCAAATTATACCAAATTCTAGCCCAAAACAGCCTTTATCTCTGGTAAAATTTTCATATTTTAAAACAATAACTTTGAAGTATTGGTTCTAATAAATTATAGAGAGATTTAAAAATTTTACCAGAGATAAAGGCTGTTTTGGGCTAGAATTTGGTATAATTTGAGTGTAGATTGTTGTGAAAAGTCATAAAAATGGATAACGAAAAAGATATTCGTTCAAAAACATTGATGAAAAACTTATTTGAACCTTATGAATTTTATATAGATAAATGTCTTCTCACTTGGTCTTTCTAATGGTGAAAACCCGAACTCGATACCTATAAGTGATCGAGAGTTATTCAAAAAATGATGGAGGCTAGGTTTTAAAAAATCCGGCAATAGTAAAATGAATATTATGTGAAACAAAAAGACAAACTTGGTTTTTATTACTTCTTATTCTTCGATTTCATAAATCTTTATTCATTCATTCATTGTTAAACAAGTGCGCCAATAAATATTGAAGTTTATAGCAAGAAGGTTGGCTAAAAAGCAACGAAGTAATTCGTACATTGTCTACGAACAATCGTTCAACATTTATTCTTGTTTGTTTATTTATTTACACACGAATAATAATTATTAGAATCAAAAGATCATATATATACAAGGAACTAAAAGAGAACGTGATGGATATTCTACATCTCTAAACCGTAAATGTGATAAAAATTTCTATAGTATTAATTTAAAGAATTAGCAGAGATAATTGATCGATAAACTGCATCATCTACGTTTCAACACTTTACGATAAATAGAAGATTCCACAACAGATAGTCATAATGCTGAAAAATAAAATCGATAAAAAGAAATATTTTTGCTTATCATTATGGAGAAATAACTGGGAAAAATCCAGAAAATACTATTCAACATTAAGAAACATTAGGTATGAGTAATAGGTGCTTTAAAAAATGTTCTATATAACTTTTCCTTGTTTTGAAGTTTCTGTCTGCTGTAATTTTCGATATTCGATAAATGAATACAGTTTTTGTCTTTCGTAATATTCCGATAAATGCAAAATGTGAATATCAATATTTAATTACTGTTTACAAGCGAGATTATTTATAAATTCATTTTTTACATACCATTCAATCTTCGTGGGATGCTGTATGTGATTGAATCACATGATAATTGTCGTAGCACACGTTTGTCGTTATAATCGATTGACGTCGTCCAATTGTCGCTTTCTCTAAATAGAAAGTTAATATGCACAATTAAGATAATTGAGGTATAGTCAATCCACCCACATTCACACTCCTAATTTAGAATATGCTATTATTTTTTTTATTCAAATCGTATTTTTCTAATCAAAATCTATTAAATATCAAGCAAAAAAGCCTCATATATCGAGAATAGTCGTCTGAAGATTTCTTTATGTGACTCGCGTTTTTTCCTTGATGTGTTTATACCATTTTGAATAGCTTAAAAAGTGTTTTTGAATGATATGAAAATAATCTACATTGCAAATTTCTTTTAAATTCTATTTTGTAGAAAATCAAGTTTAAATAAGTTAAAGCAGTTTTAAAATTTACATTGATTCATTCATCGAATTTTTTAATGTTCAGAAAATGCTTGATTTTCTACAAAAATGATTTTCAAAAGAAATTAGAAAATCAATATAAATTCTAGAAATAGTCAAAAATGAAAGTAACTTTCTGGAAAATTGTTTGAACAACGATCACTATGGAGCCATTGTTCATTCATGTATATAAGTCAGCCGGTAGAGTTGCGCATTCATCATTTTCTTCGGTAGGTGTAATGAGTTGATAAATTATATTTTCTACAACTGTTGCATGAGTCAGTCGATTTTAAATGTATTTTCTCTTGGAAACAGATAGTCTTAGTAGATTTTCAAAATTCTAGAAAATGCTCCAATTTCTAAACACAATGCAAAACTGTAGGAATGTCCATACGAATTCAGTTTCGATTTATTTCTTATTTTTATCTTGAATGTTGTATTTTCAAGAAAGTAGAAATTCGTCTCCGAAATCGATAGGCATTCTTAAAATATTCTGTTCTGTACTCTATAACTTATTTTCTACTTTACAGTGTAGTCGTTGATGAGATGGGTACATACTCATATCGTAAATACCGAACAGTTTTTAGCGGTAAACCGTGGTGTTTATCAAAACCGGCGGTTTACCGCGGTAAATTACAGTAATGGGAGCCGGTAACCGGACGGATAAAACCGCGGTAAACCGGAGATTTTTCTGAGCATTTTTATGATATGGGAAGATAGAAGAAAAAAAACGTTTAAAATAGCCAAATCGATGATTTAAAGCAATGAAATGTCAAAGTTTATTGGCGATGCGGTAACTAGATCGGTAAAACTGCGTTTAACCGCCGGTTTTCATCCGATTTTTATCGCATGGGTAAAAAGTGCTAATTATCATCGACAGTCAGGTTCAATGTACATGTAACGGCCATTGACTATTTCGATTGATGTATTCGGACACCTTGTGTGATAGTTTGGCATAGAAAAAAAATCGAATTTGTCGAAAATGCCATTTTGAACAGTTATTGACTCCGCTCCTCTCTGGATCAGAATCCGAGTGTGAAAGGACCCACAGCTTTCTAATCGTGATAAATTTCATTTATAAAGATTTTGTTTTCGTCTATGACAATAAAAACGTTCTCGTTTATAATAAAAATCATTACATTATTAGAAAATAAAATTTAATATTGTTTAGATTTAACCAAAAGTTCTGAGAACATTAAAGAGTAATATAAAGATTTGAAGATATTTTTAATTTTATTTTATCAAATGTTGAAAATAGTCGCCATGATTATTTATATCAAGTTCAATCCTTTCGACACAATCTACTAAAAGTTTTTTTGATCTCTTTTTCTAACAAAAATTTTAGCTATCTTGGAAATTCCATGAGCTAATTATATTTCATTTGTTTTCAAAATTTAATGCAATTTTGTTCGAACATGTCAATTGCATTCTAGCACTACTTGAAGATGAATTGGCAAAGACTGTGGTTCATGAAGACAGATTTTAACCAAAACTTTGTTTAGTATATTCTTTAAATCAAATAATCCTGAATGTAGATAAAGGCAAGACTGTAGATTACAATTATTATATTGAAAATTGCCCGAAGGCTTCTGTTAATGAAATATAGAAACAAACATGGACATTAGATTCAAAATGTATGACATTGTTTGACGATCATTGTTACTCATCCAATGTTATCAATTCTATGACAGAAGAAGGTATTAATATAATGTCATGCCCAACATATTCGTCAGGTCTGATACCATATAATTTTTAGCTAACTAATTCTATCGAATATAGTTTAAGTGATTAAATAAATGAAATATAATTAGCTCATGTGGTTTCCAAGATAGCTAAAATTTTTGTTAGAAAAAGAGATTAAAAAAACTTTTAGTAGATTGTGTCGAAAGGATTGAACTTGATATAAATAATCATTACAACTATTTTCAACATTTGATAAAATAAAATTAAAAATATCTCCAAATCTTTATATTACTCTTTAATGTTCTTAGAATTACAAGTCATCTATTTTACATGCAAAAGAAAATTTATCAAACAGATGTTTATAATTCAGTTTGATTCAAACTGTAATTTGATAGTTCATTATTCACTAGAATAAACATCTAAAATAATAATAATTACAGAATCAAATATCTTAATATTAAACAACACGTCAGTTTGAACATAAAGAACAAATGCGAAAAACATCAATCTTATATTACTCTACACTCATTAATATAGAATTAACACATTTTTCAAAAACGGAAATTCATTATAAATTACATTCAAAAATATACAACAAACGTTATATTTTTTATTTGTTAATACACTATCTAAACAAAACAGCCACATATATTAAAATGTTGATGGATTACTTAAATGTTATAGTTGAGCATCACCTCAAGAAATTCATTAGTTTACTTAAAGACCTTTTTATATTCTATGTCAAAGAATCCAATCTTATTAAAAGATCAATATATATATATATAAAGAATATTTTCCTTAGAGAGAGAAAAGTGCAGTTCTATTTATATGAATAAGGTATCATTCAAGTGGAATAAAAGTGTTAAAAAGGTGAAATAAGTAGTAAATATGCATGAGTTAATTCGTTTGCTTTTTTGGTTAAATATTCTTTTTCTAGAATTATAGTTTAATATGAAAAACAAGATTTTGTTTTTTCTTGTTGTATTTATTTTAAATTATGAAAATATTTTCTATTCATGTCATAACTTATTATGTCATATATCTAATCTATATTCTCTCTCTTATCTTTGGAATGCTTGAAAAATTTTTCACATCTTTATCTGTTTGTTTCTTTTTTTTTTTCTTTTTATCTTCTTTTCTGCTGGCATGACAGCAACAGAATAGCATGAATGTCTCCTTAATTCCTTTCTATATTCATTCTTTATTGAATATAATACAGAGATAGTGTTCTTTTCTTTTTTCTTCGGTTTTTTCTTTTTGCTATTACCTTAATATTCATAATTACAATATATATATTAAGTGTCAAATTACGCATATCTATTATCAATTTTATTTATTTTAATATGTAAGATATGTCGTTATTTGAAGCTTGCCAAAAAGTAGATATTGAACAAGTTAAATATTTAATTGAACAAAAAGTAAGAATTTTATTTTTTATTTTTATATGAAAAATTTAAAATTAAGAATTTAGTTTAATATTAATAAATTAAATGAACAAGGTCGAACAGCACTTCATTATTGTTGTGATCATGAAAATATTGATTGTGCACGTCTTTTATTAGAAAATGATAAATCTATTATTAATATAAAAGATAATGAAGGTTTTTCAGCACTTCATTTAGGTATAAGAATTAATAAAAATTGATATATTTTGATTTCGTTTTTTTTTGTTAAAAATTTAGCTTGTTTAAATGGTAATTTAATTATGGTAAAATATTTTTGTGAACAAGGTGCAGATGTAACATTAGTTGATAATGAATTTCATTCTCTTATTCATTGGATAACAGGTAGATTTTGTTTTTGCTTTTTTTTTTTGTATTTATGAAGACAAAAGAAAAAATTAGTCTGTGGACATGTTGATCTTTTTGATATTCTTGTTCAATATCAAACACCGATACATACATCTGATATATATGGAGCTTTTCCAATTCATTATGCATCACAATTATGTGGAAATAATGATCCGATTAAAAGTATGAAGATGTTTTCTTCTTTGTTTTTAAAAGAAAGAATTAATTTTAATTTGATATATTAGATTTGACTATTTTAAAAAAATTAATTGATAATAATGCAGATGTTAATTGTCTTGATGAACAAAAACGAACACCATTTATTTGGGCTGCTAGTGCAAGTAAGAATTTATTTAAGAATATTAGAATGAAGAAAACAATGTTTGACTTTGAATATCGTTAGAATAAATAGAAAATAATTTTAATAGTTTGATTTATTATGAAACTTGTACAAAAAAAAAAGGATAGAATGTAAATTCAAGGTAAGGATTTTCGATTTTTTTTAGCTTAATAGTGCTTTTTACAGTCGGTACCAAAAATTTTTATTTATTAAGAGTGAAACTGGAAATAGAAAAAATCCTTCCAATGATTAAGGCTGATTGAAACGATTTTTGAACTAATTTCATTGGTCTCTATTTATGGACAAAAAGTTCTACTTCTTGATAATGAAAAGTTCGATCACTTTAAATTCTTTTTTGTTTCAGAAAAACGTCTTGCAAAATGTGATAATGCTTGCGTCGTCGAAAGTATCACTCTAAATGAATTATATAACGAGCGAGTCTCTTCAGATGTCTTCGTTCGATTTCAACGATTTTTTCTTTACGTTTAGATACTACATAGTGTTATAATAAAAAAAAACTTTAAAAAGATTTGGATGCTTATTGATATTTAACTAAGCTATCGAATGTTTTTGTCTAGAGGTCCCAGGTCTTCTGAAAACTCGCAAAATCTTCTCGAGATATGAACCTTGATACCGATCTATCAAGACAGCAAACACAAGACAACGAATGTGAAAAAAAACTGTTGATTCTTTATTTGATGAACGTATTGATCTCGAAATAGGTGATGCAAAATTGACTGATAGAGAACGTATGAAATGCAATTAAAGAAAGATTGAGAGAAGAATAATTTGACGATGAATTCGAATTCGAGAACCAAGCAGTATAATAATAGACAATGATTGTTACTGAATGATGGAAAAAAATACCGATTCGACTGAAGCTGTTGGTAGATCAAAATGCAGAACAAGTACAGGAGCATTGATGAATGTGTTTTTATTATCAATTTTATTCTCGGATGGCTTTTTTGGGTCCAGTTGGAGCTACATAATACTATTTTTTATTTCCTGCTACGCTATAACGTACCCTTTTATGAGCGATCGCTTTTCTAAGCTTAGCTCTGAGAATTAGAAAAGACATTTCTTAGAAAAGGATACATATTAACGTAGCAGGGAATGAAAAATGGTATCATGTGAGTCCAGCTGAACCCACAAAAACCATCTGAGGGTTAAAAGAAATTTCGATTTGTAAATGTCTTTCCAGGCAGTATTTTTTATGTCACATTATAACCACAAGTTTTAAAAATGCTCAATTACTTCTGAAGATATTTCTATTTTGTTTTATTATTTAGGTAATCCTTGTATCTCTATAACAGTAATGAGTAGAAATCTCAAATTCTAGCATAAAGTAGCTCTAGACATTCAGTATATATACTATAAATATCAGCCTTTTGGACTCATAAAGCATGTAAGAAAAAAATATTCCACAAGAGGATCAGAAATTATATTACATCCTTTATACTATCGAACGAATGATCCAAAACAAACAGTCGTTAGTAACTTGTCCAGAATTATTCTGTGAATGGTAGTACCGATGTTTGAACACAATACTTTGTGGATATGTACTGAACATCACGACGATATATCTGAGGATTATATAATATTTAGATGCTATTGATGCATTACGTATATTATACAAAGCTGGTGCTAATCCATTACATGCTGATAAAGATTCTTTAACGGGTAAAATTCATTTCTAATATTCAATATTTTTTATTTTCATATTAATTTTTTCTTTATATAGCACTTCATTGTGCAGCAACTTGTGGACATTTATCTTGTATTCGTATGTTAATCGAATTATATGGATGTTCACTTGAAAGTTTGTATTAAATAATTATTTTCTCTTTAAAAACAAAAAAAGAAACAAAATTATCTAGGTGAAGATATAAATGGTTGTACACCTTTATTTTATGCAATTACATTTGAACATTTAAATGTTTGTCGAGTTTTACTTCATTTAAAAGCTAATCCAAATCATAAAGATCATCGTGGAAGAACGTAGGTTAATTGATTAGGAAAAAAAAAAAGTTTTATAATATTATTTCAATATGTATTCATATTAGACCAAGTCATTGTGCAGCATTAAAAGGAAATATTAATTGTTTAAAATGTTTAATAGAACATAATGCTGATATTTGGATAAAAAATAAACGTGGTGATTATCCAATACATGAAGCAATTAATTCAATATCAGTTAGTAAATTTCGTAATGAAAAAAATGATCAATTACAAAGAGAATGTTTAGGTATTTGATATATTTTCGTTTTTTTTTTTTGGAAAATTATTTATTTATTTTTAAGATTTTGTTCGATTTATATTACAATTATATCCTAAGAAAGTTAATATTCAAAATAGTGAACATCGAACATTTCTTCATTTGGCTGCTAATTTCGGAGATGTAACAATGTGTAAAATATTAATTGAATGTGGTGCAAGAGTTAATTCATTTATTCAAACAACAGCTGTAAATTATTTTGTTGTTTTTAAGTGCAAATAAGAATACTCTTATGAACTTCATATAATTAAATCTATTAAATAGGATTTAGTTAATAGTTTCTATTAAATAATTAATCATAGAAGATTTATATTATATTGTTGTTTTTGATAGGAACATTATAGAGACTTGGAGTTTCCACTATTCAAGAAAGAAAACTCATATCTGGTTGGTCAACAAATGAACATAAGCCCCAACTTTCTAGAATGTTCCATTCAAGAGTTATAAGGATTTTTTCAAGACTTTCCGTTTCCAGTAAATTGACTTTGGAATTCCATACGATAAATAATCATTACTATCATCTCTTTTCGAGTCTTCTAAGGTTAATTTGCTGAAATTGAGAGTCTCAGAAAAACATTTTGTAACACTTGAACGAAATATTCTAGAAAGTTGGAACTTACGTAGATCGAGCCAGAAGAATTTTTTCCTATCGATTGGTCATATTTCAAGTTAAAAGTCAATAAAAAATGACTTCAGAGATAACTCACCTAATTGATCAGTGGTTGACTAATCAGCTCTCTGCATGCATAAATGGCTTAGTGTCTTCTCTCTTGAATGGTGAAAGTTCCAGGTCTCTATGTTGTTCCTATCAAAAGTTATTCAAAAAAAAACGGGCCAGATCCATTGCTTTTTGAAATGGCAATAGGAGTCTTTTTACATCAATATAAAACATTGTGAAACAATATAAGTATCAGAGATGTCCATGGTGGCAGCAGATCCTTTCTGAGAAGATATTGCAAAATCTCATGGATTTGTGTAGGATTCAGATATCCATAAGTGTAACAGTCAGAGACTAGATGAAACACATGGGTGATTCATACCGACAGTTCTAGTTCAGTACAGTGATGCCAGAGATTCTCGAAAGACTTTTTGAAAACCATAGCGACAGCGACGCGAAAGACTTCTCTCTTTTAGAACCGAGGCGCGACAACGGCAGATTCTCAGCTACGATGGGCATCTATGATAAAGTAACTGTTTTTGAAAGCTTCAAAGTTATATGTATCTACCTTAAATCTTATCAGACTTTTTGAATTAGTATTAAACTTTAATAACATTTAGTGCAAAAGTAATGACACGAAATGTTTCTCCCTAGAAAGGCATAGGTTTTTTTTCTTAATTCATGAAATATTTTCTTCTCTTTTGAATTGTATCATCCATGCAAAAATAAAAATAAGACAGGCAAAAAAAAATATTCGTATAATAAAGATCGAATGTTTTTTTCTGTTTTCTCGTCTCATTTTATTTTTGCATGGATAATACAATTCGAAAACGAAGAAAATATCGTATATCAGCTGATAGATGGATCAACAATAAATTGAGAGTACTCCTGAAGAAATTATATATAATCTCAAACAGCGTCTTTTACTCTATCGATTAGTAAAAAAAAAGAACTTTCGCTTTTATCTAATCAGAATTCGAAAAAAAAAATCATTCTTCTTTAACATGAAGTGCTTTTACGAAAACATGTATTCAATATAATGACCTTGCACAATTTTCCATAATTCCAAATCGCGCAAAACTTCTACAAAATGTTCCTTCATCCATAACATCGATATAGTATTCCAGACCTGAGCTAACGCGGGAAAGTCAGCAACTGTTCAATTGCTTTTAAGTCGGAGCTATGTGCATCATGTAGGTCCATCTCCATGAGAGTAGCTCATTGTGAAATTTTCACATCTTTTGGTTGTTCCAATTCTGAAATAAGAATATTAGAACCTGTTGAGGGTATACGAGCAGTGTAAAAACACCCTTTTTAGCTGTATCTTAGGATAAGAACAACTAAAAGACCTGAAACTTTCACAATAAACTACTCTCACCGAGACTTGTTGCTGTGCAAAGTTTCAAGTCGAAACTCGAAACTCAATTTTCTGGTTCCTGAGAAGGACCACAGCATTATGCTTAATTCAAAATACCACAAAAATGCAGTATCTCGACACTAATAAGCTAGCGGTCCGAATTCTTTTCAAGGTATTTCATAGCTCATTAGGACCTACATGATGCACATAGTTCCGACTCAAAAGCGATTGAATAATTGGTGACCTTCCCTCGTAAGAGTGTTTTAGACAAAACTCATTGTTCTCTCTCACAGTGATATTTCAGCTTATATTAACATTCGAGAGATGATAAAGCTATATTAACCACAATATGTTCGCCTGATAGAACCGGTCGGGTTAGTTCCGGACCCGAAAATTTTCGATCCGACAACCTCTACTGCTTGTTTTATGGAAAAATATTCACTGTACAGGATATCTTATCTGCTAGAGTTATATGTTCGTAACAATAAGAAATTCTGTAAAATTTGTTTTTTAATATTTTAGGGTAATTTTTTAACACCTTATGATCTTGCTCGTATTCGTCATCAAGATAAATGTGCTGAATATCTTGTTTATAATCATGGAGGTCAACGAGGCAATTTATTAGCACATATATTAGCTCGACGTATTCAAAAATATTTTCGTCAATATAAAATGAAAAAACCTTTAATAGAAAATCAACAACGAAAAACATTGAATAAAATATTTCGTACTAATAATAATAATAATAATAATAATAGAAATTCTTTTATATCTGAAAATTTATCTTCTCAATCAACTAATAAATTAATATCAACAAAAAACCCAACAGATCATTTACTTAATCAAGCAAAATTATGTTTACATAATAAAATAATTGATGATCAATGTAAAGAATTAAAAATTAATTCATCAAAATCTCAAATATATTTAATAAATAATTCAAAAGAAGAAAAACAAACAGCAAAACAACGACGTCATATATTTGCTGAATTCAAAACAACAATGAAATCAATTAATTGTAGTGATGAACACGAGTATTTAATAAAAAAAAACAAAAAAAAAATCTGTTTTTTTCTTTTTGGTTACTTATTATTCTTTTTTTTTTAAAGATCAAATTCATTACAACGAATAATAATTCATCCATCAAATTCTATTACAACATCAGTTAAACTATATGAACGACATAAATTAATAGCCGAAGAATTATTTAAAATAAAAGAAGCTCGAATTCATAATCATTCTGTAAAATTTAATACAAAAAAAAAAAAAAAAAATTTTTCTATTCAAATTTTTGAATATATTTTAGATTATTATCAATCGACGATTATATAAAATTTTAATTGAAAATGCATTTAATCCTCAAAATCGATCTATTGATGAAATTGAAAAATATCTTGAAACATTATTAAAAGCATATGAAACTGAATTAGAATCTATACGAAAACGAACTAAAGTAAATGAAATAATAAAAATCATTCTTTTTTTCTTTTTATTTATTCATAGAGTGTTCCGCCTAAACGTATACACAATTGTTCTCAACGATAGTCATAAATCTTATGATTCATGCAACAGCAAAAAAACAAAATTATGATTATTAGCAAAAAAAAAATAATAATAATAACTGTATCTTTTTCCAGTTATTTTTATGTGTAAAATAGTGTGTTTACATATTTTTTTTTCTTTCATATTCTGTATCTATCCTTATGCAATTAATAGTCATCAATAGAAGGACACGCTTCATTGATTTATGAATAGCTAACGAAAAAAAAAAAAAAAAAAAAATTATATGCATCTATTCATCAAATAATATGGGAAAGGCTTCAATATCATATATTCATACGTAGATTGGCTTTTTTTTTGTCTTTTGTCAAAAGGTCATTGAATATACAGTTTATATTTTAGAAAACGTGCTTAAATTAACGATGAAGAATACAGAAATAGACGATTCCATTGATAATACAGATATTCCTAATACAACTACTGGAAATCGTTCGACCAAAAACAAACCTGCACCAAAAGCTCCAACAGATGAAACACAGATACTAATAAAAACTAGTGAAAACAAAAGAAAAGCACCAAAAATTCCAATTACTACAAATATTGATGTTTACGAACGTACGGATGAAACAGAAGCACGTGATATTCTTGAAAAAGAAAATAATTTTCAAGAATCATCTATCTTTGATCAAGAAATTCCAGTTAAATCAAAGAAAAAACGAGCACCAAAATTTGAAATACCTAATGAAAATGATGAATTAATACCAATCGAAGAAACTATTACAAAAAAAAAATCCAAAGCACCAAAACCTCCTATAAATGATTATGATGATGATGATAATGATTCTCAAAATATTGAAACTTTATCTATGGATTTATTAGAATCATCTATGGATATAAAACCTAAGAAAAAAAAATCTAAAAAATCCAAATTATTAACAGAAACATTCTCTACTTCATTTGATGATTTAAATATTACTAATCTTGATGAAATATATTCTCCAGATCAAGGTAATATCGATCTCATACATCATATTTTCTAATTTAAATAATACCATAGATATCTGATGAATTCCATGCATAAATTATCAACTAAATAATTACTTTTCTAATGATAAAAAAAAACAAAAACTGTTTTTCATTTGAATATATAATTAGATATAACCTAAGAATATTCTAATTCTTTTCGAAAGAAAAATTTCAAAAATTTTTTTTATTTACTTTAGAAATAGATGTAAATACAAATGATATTATTCCTATTGATGATATTGAAAATGTACAATCATCGGAAAATAATACAAATGAATATGAAACAGCTATTATCAATGCATATAGTAATTTAGCATCAAATGTTCATTTTTCTCAATATTTTGGTGATGAATGGCGTATTGCTTATTTACCAAAACCAGCTCGTACAGATGAAAAATCTCTTATAAGAAAAATATTACCCGGTGGTAATAAAGATGAAAAATCACCTAAAAAAACAACGGCTCCAAAAGGAGGTATATTAACTCGTCTTCGTAATGGTGTAAGTACACTTGTACGTGATGAAAATAATATGTTATTTGGTGAACGTTCAAATATTGAAAAACGTGATTATGGAGATGATCCTGATGATATTGATACTGATAATTTAAATCGTTATGCACAAAAATTACGTGATTTAGAAGATAGAGATCGTGAAATAAATCCTGAATATCTTGTACTTCGTGATGGAAAAACTCTTTATGCTGTACATGAATCTGATGCTGATGGTACAGTTAAATTAGCTAAACGTAAACCAATATTTGATCGTTTTGCTGATCAAAAAATTAATGATCAATCAGGAAAAAAGACAATTTTATCTCGTTTAAAAAGTTCATTTAGTCGAAGTAAAGATATAGATGACAATGATAGTCAATCATTAAAATTAGATGGTGATACATCAAATACTCGTTTACAACGAAAATCAAGTAAAAAATCTTTTGGTGATGATATAAATATGGTAGCATATGACGATTTGGGAATGGATTGAAAGCTAATTCTATTTTATGTGGATGTGTGTATATATGCGCGCGCGTCCATAAGAAACAAAAACAATGACAACAAACGACGTACACATCGCTTCGATTATTTCTTGTTCTTCTTCTTTTTTTTTTTTTTTGTTTTTGTCGTTGTGCGTGGTCTTTTACAGAAATACATTTCTTGTCTTTTTTTTTTCCCTGAAAGAAAAAGAGAAATGCAGAAATTTCTAGTTCTTTCGTTGTCGTATGTTGGCTTTTATTTGATAAGAGAATATGAGTGAGTGGAACTAGAACCTAATTTTGTTCTTCCTTCATCTCGACAAATATTGGTCGGTTATTATTATGCGTGTATTTTATGATCAATAAGGCAGAATTCTCTTTTCTCCTATAACGATAATCTTCTAATAGTGTAGCATATTTTGATTTATTTTATTACAATTATATAAAAAAAAAGGTATGTAAATATGATTTATCTATCAAAATAAATAAAACATACGACTTCAAAAAACATAATATTTTTTATTAAGTTATATTTTCAAAAAATTCGACAATTATTGTTGTTTTTTTTATGGCTGTAAATTTACTTGGTAGTTCAGATAGTGATGCACGTATTATTCTTAATGTTGGTGGTACACGTTTTGAAACAACAAAATCAACATTAAAAAAATTACCAGCAACACGTTTATCAAAATTAACTGAACAATTATCATATTATGATCCAATATTAAATGAATATTTTTTTGATCGTCATCCAGGTGTTTTTTCTCAAGTATTAAATTATTATCGTACAGGAAAATTACATTATCCATTAAATGTTTGTGGACCTTTATTTGAAGATGAATTATCATATTGGGGTTTACAACGAGAAGAAGTTGAACCATGTTGTTGGTTTGTATAAAAAAACAAATAATTTCCTTTATTTTTGTTTTACCTCTTTCTTCTAGGATGACTTATACAAAACATCGATCAACTGCAGAAACATTATCAATTTTAGATAGTTTAGAATTAGATACAGTACGTTCATCTCAACAAGAAGTTATAAAAAAATTTGGTTGGGATGATGATTTTGATTATATTCAAGGTCGTTTACCTAAATATAAAAAAATGATGATGATTATATGGCAAATATTTGAAGAACCACGATCATCAACTATAGCTAAAGTTATTACTGTCATTTCAATATTTTTTATTCTTGTATCTATATTATCATTTGTCTTACAAACATTATCAATGTTTCGTATAACTGATATTGATTTTGTTACGGTTTATGTTAATAAAACGACAACAGATCGTACACCAACATTAAGTCGACAACATGTTCATTCATCGTTTGATATTGTTGAATGGATATGTATGTTTATATTATTTTCTTTCATTTTATTTATGTTTGTTTTTTGTTTTTAGGTAATACATGGTTTATATTTGAAATAATGATAAGATTTATTGTTAGTCCAAATAAAAAAGAATTTTGTAAATCATTTTTAAATATTATTGATTTTCTTGGTATGTTATTTTAGTGTTTAATCTTTATATTCTTTTCAATCAGTTAATCAATTGTTCAATCTCAAATATTTTCTCTTCTTCTAGTATTTCACAATACGTGTTATTTTCTTGAATATATTGACAAGAGTAAAGTAGATGTGTATATTCTATACATATTTAAGATAAAAATAATAGTATTTTTAATCCTTTATTTTTAATTATGTACCTTTACCTTGAGATAATTTAATGCTATAGATATGTTGAAACTAATTATATCAATTTGATTTGACATCAGTTGCTAATAAATATTTCGGCTAGTGTTAATTTTCATTTTCCTTAAATTGTATTTGACTAGGAATACAACGATACTAGTAAATTACTCGATCACAGTTTACCAACAGTCGGAATACAGAACAATAGACTAACATTAAAGATCGGTTATTATTTCAATTACCCTACATTCATTAAATATAGTGCATACTTTGTATAAATTTTATTAGCATTTCATATATTCGACTACATTTAAAGATAAGTGTTACACTTAATTTACATAATTATAACTTCTCCCTTACACGATCATACAATCATGAGAATAGTCCATCTGTTAATTAAAAGTTTCGTACTATTCAGAATAAATGAAGATTATAATGTATGAATATCAAAGTAAAAGTAAAAGAATAAAACTAATGTAGAATATTTTTCTTTTATTCTAGCAACATCTTGGTTTTATTTTACATGGGCATTAATAAAACTTAATGTTAATGATAATGAAGCTCTTGATTTATTATCAACGATACGTATAATGCGATTATTTAAATTATTTAATCATCATCCTGGTTTAAAAGTTATTATAACATCAATGAAATATTCATCATCTGTTTTATGGTTATTAATATTTTTTGTTTTAATTGCTGTTGCTATATTTGCTGCATTAATTTATTATGCTGAACGTATGACAACACGACATCCTAATGAGAATATGTTTCGTTCAATTCCAGATGCTTTATGGTTTAATATGATAACAATGTCAACAATTGGTTATGGAGATTTATATCCAAAAACTATGTTAGGAATGTTAATTGGCGCTGTTTCAACAGGTAATGAAATGTCTGATGTTCTTTTTTAGATAATAAAAAACAAAAAGAAATAAATGGTTTTGTTTTTTTTTTTGTTTTTAGTTGCTGGTGTATTAATTATTGATTTACCAATGCCAATTATTGTTGAATCATTTGCTAATTTTTATACACATCTTCGTGCACGATCAAAATTACCTAAAACTCGACGAAAAATTGGTCCAGCTGAACCAACAGTTAAAAAACGAACACCTGTAACAACAATTGATAATGGACAAAATCTTAAATTACTTGGACAGACAGCTAGAACATCAATGTTTAGTACTAAAACAGTTATTAATAATAATATTAAGTCTTCAGTTGCTTAAATAATAAAAATCAATCTATTCTTTTCTGATTTCTTGTAAATAAAAATAAATTCATCCTAGCCGCATTTCGATTTTATTCAATTCAAAATATGATGTACAGCAAAGAGCCATTTAAAAAAAAATATTGTACTTTCTATTTTGTAATGAATTTCATTACGAAAAAACCATAAAAGTGACCATTTCCAACAAGTTGCTTTTCTAGACTCTATAATTCAAGAATGACTGGTCCAAACAGATTGAGATTTTTTTTTTGTCTCTAAATATCAATGAGTTCTACTAAGAGAAAAAAAAAGTTCCGCTCAAACAATGTATGTAGATGTTCTTCTCAAAGGATCACACGCATCCATATCCGAAATATTTTCTTCCACCTGTGACATTGTTCGAACATAGCTCATATGATATTCATATTGATGAAAATGACTCTCAAAAAGGACAACTTGATAGATCTTTGTTTCAACATCTACATTTGGACATGCCCGTCACTATAATAAAAAGAAATACTCAATCTATACATATGTACTTAAACCGATTTCAGTGCCTATTTTCAAATATTCATATTCACTCTATTTATTAGCCTTAAGAGTATTACTCTCGTTGGTGATTTTCGAATCATTTCGAACAGGTATATTGTCAAAGCCGTCTGAAAAGTCCTTAGTAGTAATGAAATCATGATAACAGTAGCTGACTTCATTCACACCACATCTCATCGATACCCACTCTCAATTGAATTCTGAATTGTTTTTAGTTATTTATCATGTAGATTATGCTTTTTATTTGTGATTTTCGGATCGTTTAAGTAAATACGAAGTGATAGTCCTTTGATGAGACCTTTAGACAAAGTCGAAATTCGTTTTTTGGTTTGTTGGACTCAGAGACATCCACACTATCTTTCGCATCCTCACACTGTTCAAACTTTGGTGGAATAGAATTAGAATGTAGTACATTAAATGAAAGAAAAAAATCATTATTTTTCTTATTGTTTATCTAATAGATGTAGTTGCAAGTGCTACCAACGCGAACAACGAACAATCGAAACTTTTAATATCTTTTTCTTGCAAAATGATATGAAATCAATATTTCTTGTTGAATTCTGTAGAATGAACTTTCATAAAAAATGTTAAATTTTAAAGATGATTGAAGAATATTTCAGCAAGTCAATTTTATTATGATGGTTTCTTATTTTGGGTGAAAAACTTACTTTAATCTTGCATTAAAATTTTGTTTGATGATATCTATCAAGTGTTCAATTTATATGACGCTTTACAGAAGTCAATACTCGAATTTAAGACAATAGAATAAGTTCGTGTCCACGCATTAGAGCTATAGTTGAAACATGGAAAAGTTCATTATCCTTTAATTAAAGCGAACATCAATGTAGTATAATAGGTTCTGGATAAGGCTCTTATCTTCAAAAGATTGAACTTGTTCATGGTAGTTCAAAGTTTATCTAGTTGTATTGCAGATTTATTCTAAAAATGAATACCCTCATTCTTAATGAAACAATTATTGGCTGAATGCGTGATATTGAATAAAAGAAGACAATAGCACGTTGCTCACAATTATTTTAGATATTTGCTGTTGTCTTCAGAAATCTAAACGAAACATGTTTAATATATATTTTATTGAAATAAATAATTATGAATAGCAGAGAAAAAATTGGCAAGTATATTAGAAGAGAAAGCAAACAGATTGCAAGAATACAAAACAGAGAAAGCTACGTAGTTAATTGAAAACATGAGAGGAGCAAACTAACTAATAGATAGCATTCATTAATTTTTCGATGATTGATGGTACCGTCCTATTTAAGAATGTGAATTGACGCTGGCACCATGTGTTCTACAAAGAAAATCAAGCTGTTATTACAATCCTTGCAGGATTAAAATGACACATTTCTTCACTCTCCTTTTAATTCTTCAGAAATGCAATAAGGAATTGGTTCATATATTATAACGAAACTTTTTGAATATACAGTCCTGATGGTATATTAACAACATCTGTCACGGTAAATGATGACCTCTGGCTTGCTTCTATCACACTCTTTGGGGGGATCGAAATATTCACCCCTATACTTCATCACTTATTTTAGTT